TGAACTGCAGATAACAGTCAGCTGAAGTGGCCTGCAGTACTGCACCCTAACCACTGCGCCACCTTGGTTATAAATGAGCTTAAAGAGAACATGGTGGAGTTAGCTCACTAGAGCCAATCCTCACATTTAATTCTCTACAGGTCCACATAGCACAACTATTGAGCATCTCTGTATCTCTCTCTTCCACACACCTCCAAAAATAATAATGATGGATTGAAATTTACACCTTCTACTGGCCTTCCTAACATCCCAAAGACTCTGAATGGTTCTAAGCAAGAGGGTAACCAACATTACAGGGGTGCACCCTTGCTCCGATTACATTTCCAAATGTCCCGTTCTGACATTTCCAAATAAGTCCCATTCTGGGCCTCATTTCAGTGATCTCTCCTAAAGAGTTATGGAACTATAATCTCATCAGCGGGCTGTGATTACTTTTAGATCTGGGCAGTTCATTTCATTGGGAAGCAACATTATTAGAAGGCATCTGCTTCCATGAGCTGCTGCTCAGTAACAGGACAGATTAGGGATCATGTGTATTCCATTAGGCATTAAATATACGCAAATGCTTATATTTAGAGTGTTCTATAGTTCAGCCCAACATAAAGTTTAGGAATTTGCAATTGTATGTAACTCCCTTACATGCAATTGCATGTAATCCACTTCTAGCTATTAACAGAATAAAGTACATGCTTTTGCCATCGGTTCCAACTCTGGCCATACCATTGTGCTGATGATATTCAGTGCCAGGGGATGAAGGAAAGTTGATAGTGTTTAGTCCTCAAGGCTACGACTGACAGCCAGCAACAGCCAGGCCGCGCCTGATTGGCTATGCCTCGTTCTTCCTCGGCTCACTTCAGATAGCGTCTTAGTCCACCACTCTCCTACCAGTTACTCCCACTCACTGAACCATGATCAAACTGGCTAGTCCTTCATCGGAGTCATTCCCCCATGTACGAACTGGAGAACAATTTGCATCAGTTAGCCTGACTATTTTGACAATGCCTGGAATCCATTTTCTGCCAGTTTCACAGATTCAGCCAAGCCACCAGCAGCAATCAGTCACAAAAAGAGACAGCAGCCATAGACGCAGAAACATAGAACAATAAACACCAGCCTGCCCCTTCAATGATTCAGGGTTTCTTTTTTTTAGGGACATCACAGTTATAGATAGCACTGGATGATAAAGCCAAATAAAGTTTATACCTGCTGCCGGTATAATAGGAGAGAGAAAATAGGTAAGAATAGGGAAACAGTACACACCTTTCTAATCAGTAGTCCATACATGAGCATTTATACATGCATACATACACAGAGGCCCTCTGTGACAGAATTATCAGACAGCCCTTGACCTACAACCATATTTGAGCTCAGAATTATGGTCATATGTGGCTGTGGTCATTAAGCAGGTCACCATGTGACCGTACCCTATTTCATAATCTTTCTTTGTGGTGGTTGTTAAGCTATCCATTCTGCAATGGGCGTTTTTGGCCAGAAACCACTGAAAATAATGGTCACATTGTGTGGACCACAATTCCCAGAATTCCCCAGCCAGCAACTGCTGGCTGGAGAATTCTGGGAGTTGAAGTCCACAGAGCTTAAAGTTGCCAAGGTTGAGGAATTTAATTTTGTTGTACGGGGTGCAATGACAATAAAGTAAACTAACTAAAAACACTGAACTTAGAGGCAACATACCAGGTATAATATTGGATATGGCGAACTAAAATATTTGTCCCCCACTTATTGTTTGTATTTGTAGCTGACAAACTGGGGTGCTCTAGAACCATGCTTTAATGTCCAAACAGGTCAGTGCATGGCAAATACATTTATATGTATTTATGAAAGAAAATACCAAGAAGCCCCACTCTATTTCCAATATAAACTCCCTTCCCCTCCAGGAAAGGAGTGTTTAATGCTAATATGAGGGCTGGGCTGCTACAGGTTCGCCCGGGTTCGGGAGAACCCATAGCTAACATTAAGGCTGGTTTGGAGAACCTCCAAATCCCACTCCTGGCTGGCCCCTGTCCACAACACCTCACCCCTCCCAGGAGTCTCCACATGGCCAGTTTTGGATGCTAGGTAAGTGCAGGGCCTGCATAGAGGCATTGGCGGGGGGGGGGGGGGGGGGGGGACGGGTCTTGCAGAAGACCTCTGGATCCCAGGGGAGGCAGTTTTCACCCTCCTGGAGGCTCAAGGAAAGCTTTCGGAACCTGGGGAAGGCAAAAATACCCCACCCCACCCCACCCCATGGTGCAGGAGGCAAACTAGGCGACTACCATCATGGCTACGGCCACCTAGCAACTGAGCAGAGAACCAGTTGCTGAAATTTTTGAAGCCCACCCCTAGCTAATATCTTTATTCATCCCCCTGCGCTCCCCTCCCCCCAAGGTTTGCACTCATATTCCTCATTACCAAAAGGAAGTCCAATTATCATTATGGAAGAATACAGGTAGTCCTTGACTTCCAACCACAATTTTTGCCACAGTTGTGAAGCAAATTATTCCAGTTGTTCAGTGAATCCTTCTCCCCCCCCCCCTCCAATTGACTTTGCTTGTCAGAAACTGGTTGGGAAGGTCAGAAATAGTGGGATGTTGCAACTGTCATAAATACATGCAAGTTGGTAACGGCTTAAATTTTGATCAAGAAAACATGAGGATGCTGAAATGATCATAAGTGTGAGGATGTAAGTCGCTGTCTTCAGGGCTACTGCAACTTCAAATGGTCCCTAAACAAATGGTTGTAATTCAAGGACTGCCTGTACGAAAGGGACATCGATGTGTTTTATGGAAATGGATTGGTTGTGGTTCCACTTCTGTGATATTTCTACTCTTGTGTGCAAGGCTAAAATAAAATTTTGGTTTCATTCTTCCGAATAAACATGCATGTACATACACACACACATAGATTGTCCCTCTCGATCAAATGCATTCATGATGTATCTGAATGAAGTGGATGGGCCCTAAGGCGGTGGTGGGGTGTGTACCCCTTCAGACAACCTTGATCATTCCCACCTGCTGAAAAACAATCCAGATACCTGCATACAGATTGCTAGCATTTCAAGGATAAAAGAATCAAACTGACACTCTGGAATGACACTCATACAAGGTTTGCACTTGTCTTCTAGAAATCTATGGAGACTCTCAATCATCCAGGTCATGGTTGTCCCAAAGGTGCTTTTCAAAGGACAACTGGACTTTCTTCAGTCTTGTAAAGAAAGACTGATGTTTTCCAAAAGGAACTCCTCTCTTCCCCTGACAGAGTTAGGTGTACTCTTCACACATTCTCCAAATATAGAGTAGCAAACGACAGAAGAAAAAAAACAATATAAGGATCAGAGAGGGGACACAGAAAGAATAGAGGGACGGCTGGATTCACTGTAGGGACAGGTAGCTTTAAATCCCCAGAAGCTACATTACAGCAGACTGATCAGACTGTCTCTGAGCAAGCACAGAGGCTTACGGGAAGCACATGCAGACACGATATGGGACATACCTGGATTAGACCGAAACCACATTTCCAGCATTGGCAATAGGGGAGGGACAAAGGAAGGCAGACTCACAGAAGAATGTGAGTGCCCATTTGTTCAACTTTTGGCCTGGTGAGGAAGGCATCTAGTCTCAATGGTTTGGTTGCAATTTCGAAGTCTTCGATGGAGGCAGGGCAGCCTGATGAACCTGCACTTCTGTTTTTCAATTTCTGGATGTTATCCAATAAAGGGGTGCAGACTAGGGGTGGGTTCCTTCAAGTTCTAACCTCTTCTATAGAAGAGGTTCCACAAATCTACAGTGCCATTTAGAACCGGCTCCAGCTCCCTCCCCCCGCCCATCCACCCATCATCAAGATGAAGAGCGAGAGGCGGAATTCTGGGAGTTGAAGTCCACAAGTCTTAAAGCTGTCA